GACGCCCCGGGCGTTACCATCCGTCGCCTCGAGGGGTTCGCCTGGAACCTTGCCGAAGTCCGGCTGGACGGCGTGCAGGTTGGCCCATCGGCGGTGCTGGGCGGCGGGTTCGCCGGCGGTTGGGAGCCTTGGAGCGCGCCGTGGCCGCCTCGATACCGCTGCTCTGCGCCTTCCAGGTGGGAGGATCGCAGCAGGTCTACGAAATGTCCGTGGACTACAGCCGCACCCGCATCCAGTTCGGGACCCCCATCGGCCGCTTCCAACGAGTCCAGGACCACATCATCAACCTCGTCAACGAGCTGGACGCTGCCCGCTGGACCACCTATGAGGCGCTATGGAAGCTCGACTCAGAACGGGACGCTGCCGACAGCATCCACCTCGCCAAAGCGGTCAGCAGCGCGGCCTACTACAACGCGTGCAACCACGCGCATGAGGTCCACGCCGGCGTGGGCAGCACCACCGAGTACGGCCTGACCCTGCACACCACCGCCTCGCGCACCCTTTACCAGTTCCTCGGCGACCCTAAATTCCACCGGCGCCGGCTGGCCGACGCGCTGGGGTTGTAGCCGCTCAGAACGCTCCCATGCCTTCCAGGCCTTGCCGACTTCGGTCTGCAAGGCCTCAAAAAACGTCGCCGACGCTGCCGCGACCGTCCACGGTGACGAACTGGTGCTCTTTGGCCAGCTCACGGAACTCGTCGATCAGCGCCGTTGGTAGCGGGTGAAGTTGTCGTACAGGTCGGCGCTGCGCAGGAAGTCCTCGCCCGATTCCCAGTGATCCAGTTTGGCGTACTGACAGCACTCGCGGCACCAGGTGCTCCACGTCCACGTCCAGGTACAACACCACATCCGGAACGACGGCGAACTCGAACACGTCGTTGAGCCAACGGGGCGATACTCCCCGAACTCGCGCCCGCGCTATGATCGAAAAGATGTACCTATCGACCAGGGCCACCATGCCGGACCGAAGCGCCGGAACAATGTTTTTTTCCAGCCCGGTCCCAGAAGTCGGTGGCGTAAAACAGGTTCAGTGTCAGCGGGTCAAGGGTATTCCCCCGCATCGCCCGGTCGATCCCACCGGCGGCCAACTCCGACCGCCGGAAAACCCGTGACGAGCACTGCGTACCCTTCCGCTTCCAGCCACTCCCTGAGCATCGCTATCTGGGTAGATCGTCCTACACCGTCTGTGCCCTCCACCACGATCAGACGGCCCGGCGTGGCTTCATCTCCAGCTCCGGGCGGGGTGTGACCGTAGAACCTGACGTTGTCCATCGTGGTCGCTCCTTGGTTTCACTTTAATGCGGCGTTAGCGCCGGTCGTATCCCGACGGCGAACTCGCCTGCTAACCATCCGACTTGGCGGCGGCGGCCAGCGCTTCCTGCTCGGTCAGGCGGCGGCGCATCGGCGAGGTGACGTACCGCCCGGTCAGACCGTGTCGACCCAGCGCCTCCGGAACGCTCTGCCCCCGGAGATCCATGGCTCCTTCGAGCAGGGGTTCCACGTACCGTCTCACCTGCTGCTGCTGCACGGCGATGGGCTGCGTGGCGTCGATGGTCATCAGTCCAAATTCCTCGGTCAGCGAGTCGTACTCTTCGAGGAGCTTGCCCTGGAACATCCGGAAAGATTCCTCGCGGTCATTGGAAAATCCCATGTCCTGGCCAGATTCGTAATAGCCCAACTCCTCACGGCCCACCGTGATCCGATGGATCGAGACATCCAGCGGCACCTTGAAATACAGCGCCAACGAGGGCTGAACCGCAAACGAATACACTCGGCGCAGCCATTCCCGGTTCACGCCACGAGCCGCGTCGCGGGCAAAGGCGGTGAACACATAACGGTCAGCCAGCACGGTGGCGCCCGCCCGCAGGGCGGGAATAATCTGAGCGTGCACCCGGTTGGCGAAGTCAGCCGCGTGAATCAGGCTGAAGGACATCGGGGTCAGCAGTTCCTCGACCTTCCCGCGCTTGGTGGTACGGCGCACTATGGGCGACGAATTCCAATCCGTGGACACGGTGACCAGATTCTGGCTGTTGAGCCACTTGCCCAACAGGTCAATCTGCGTGCTCTTGCCAGAGCCGTCGATGCCCTCAACGATGATCAGCTTCCCGGGAAACTTCCCATCGTCGGGATGACGTCCGTAGCACTCGCCCATCTTGTACGCTTGGGTTTCTTGCAAAACCGTCATGATTCACCTCTTTCGATCCGAACGTCGTTCCCAAAGGCCTTTCGCCATTTATTTTGCAAATTCGGCGCCGACACCGGGGACCAGCTCGGGGTGACAATCTGCCACCCGTCGCCCGCACGAGCAACCTGCACCGCATTCGCTGGCATCGCCGGCGCCATGCGGCTATCTAACTCGTCGGCCACAACCAGTAACACCGCCGCCTGTTCCAACAGACGCAACTCTTCAGGCCGCAGCAATCTGCTCTCGCGAAACCTCCGCGGCAACCGTCCCGTTTCCGCGAGGAGGAATATGGCCGCGATCTGGGCCGATTCCGCGTGCGTGAACCCCGGGAGGTCGGTTCGCACTATTATACTCGCAGTCCGGTTGAGCCGATTGTAGTAGTCTACCGCGTTTCCGATGTCCAGGAGCCGTGCGGCGCACTCCAAAGAATTCGCGATTTGCCGGTTCCATCCACCCCACACCGCATCGGCGATCCGTCCGGCCAACTCGGCCCGTCGTTCGCCCCGACACGAGAACCGGCCGGCGAACCGTCCCACGAGGTCTGTCATCGATTCCGCCCGCACCGACGCGAGCGGCGGCAACTGCACGCCGACGCACGTTGACGGAGGCTCCGGGTGCCGGGCCAGTCCTTCGCGCAATCCCTGGCCCGAGACCAGCAGCCCGCTCGATCCTAGGTGCTGCATCAGCGCGTGTGCCACCACGCCGCCGCCGAGGATCGAATGGCTGCGCTCCGGGTTCATGCCGGGTATTTCGGACCGTTCCGCCCGGGTCATCGCCGACATCAGCTCGATTTTCTCTCTCCAGTGCACCTGACCGGATCTCGTACCCGTGGAGCTTGATGATGGGATAGGGCTCCTTTCCTCGCTCCAGGCGCGACAGCAGCCGCACCGACCCGCCCGAGCCGACCAGCACGGCGCCGTCTTCCGATGCCTCTACTCCAGCCTCGGTGAGAACGGTTCGGACGTGCTCATAGGCCGCCCGCATCGCCTCCGCAGTCGGGCAGTCCGTCAACTCGAACTGGTTTGCAATACGCAGGCTGCCCAGCGGCAGCGACGCGCTGGACACCAGCCGTCGATCACGAAACTGCACCACCTCCGTGCTGCCTCCGCCGATGTCCGCCAGCAAGCCATCGCGCACACGAAGGCCGTGAATGGCGCCCACGAAGCAGTAGCCGGCCTCGTCGGACCCGTCAATGATCTCCAACGGTATGCCGAACCGTTCCTGGGATGCGGTCGTGATCGTGCTGGCATTGCCCGACTCGCGCAGCGCCGCCGTCCCCACGGCGTGGATGGTCTCGATGCCGTAGCCCCGCGCCACCAGCGCAAAATCCTCCAGCGCGTCCAGCGTGTTCGCAACCCCCCGTTCGTCAAGGTAGCCGTCGGATCGCACGTAGCTCATCAGGTTTAGCGTGACGCTCCGCTGCGCCACAATCTCGACGCCGCCACCGCGGTTCACCTGCATCACCACTGCCCGCGCGGAACCCGACCCGATGTCGATCACCGCGGCGTAATCGGGGACATTGGAGTCTCGCGCGCCGCCCGATTCGTAGCCGGAATCGACAACCGTCGCAACTTCCCCTCGCTCGGTGGACACATCCGAGGTCACGGTCCGGTAGGTCGTCATCTGATCCTCAATTCTTGCCCATTATGATGCCGGGTGGCGATGCTATAATCCGGCCCTGTGGTCCAATGCACATTGCGGGAGGTGGTTTCCATGCCCAGGTTGGAAGGCAAATCGCCATCGTCACCGGCGCAGCGCGCGGCATGGGCGAGGTCGAAGCCCGCCTCTTTGCAGAGGAAGGCGCCACGGTGGTCGTTTGCGACGTCACTGACGATACCGGGCAGCGCGTGGCCGACGACATCGTTTCCAACGGCGGCAGCGCCGAATACGCCCATCTCAACGTGACCGACGAGGACAACTGGCGGCAGGTCATCGCCGACGCGGTCGGCAGGCACGGCAGGCTGGACATCCTGGTCAACAACGCGGGCATCTCCGGCTACGATGAGGAGGACAACCTGGGAACCACCACCTGGGACCGCCTGCTGAACATCAACGCCAAGGGTGTGTTCCTCGGCATGAAACATGCTATCGGGGCCATGGAACAGCGTGACGGTGGCTGCATCGTCAACATATCGTCCATCTCCGGCATCGTGGGCCAGGACTTCATCCACATGGGCTACAACGCTTCGAAAGGGGCGGTGCGCCTGATGACCAAATCCGCGGCCGTGCGCTGGGCCGAGGCCGGCATCCGGGTCAATTCGGTCCATCCCGGCCTGATGCCGCCTATGGCTGGCGGTTCCGCCAGTTCCGAGACCCGCGACGTCATGACCGCCAACATCCCGATGAAGCGAACCGGACGCCGGGAAGAGGTGGGGCCTACGCGGTACTGTTCCTGGCCAGCGACGAAGCGTCCTACATCACCGGGGCGGAACTCGTGGTCGACGGCGGCTTCACCGCCCAGTAGGTTTGCATTGGCGGCGGTCCAACTCGCGGACCGCGCTGCGGCAACAATAAAGCCCGTATGCAAAACGCCTACGGGCTTTCTGATCGCTGACGATGCCATCGGCTATCGTCCTACCGCCATCTCTTCGATTTCGGCTTCCAGCCTTTCGATATCCGCCTCGTCCAGGCTGAAATATTTGGCCTGCGGGTGATGGAACACCACGGCCGACACCGAGCCTTCCGGGTCCATCATGTATCCATCCGTGAGCTCAACCCCGATGCTTGCGGTCACGTCCAGCAATGAGAACAGCTTCTCCTGGTCCTCCAACCGCGGACACGCCGGGTACCCGAACGAAAACCGCTTGCCATGGTAGTTAGCCCGGAACAGGTCCCGAAGCTCGTCCTCGCCGTTGACCTTCAGGCCCGACGGTTCGCCGATGCTCCACATGGTGCGGATCCGCTTGTGGAGCAACTCCGCAAAACCCTCCGCCGATTCGATGGCCAGGGCTTGCAACGTGTGCGAATCCAGGTACCTGCCCTCGTTCTTCCACCGTTCTGACAATGCCCGTACCCCCCGGTCCGACGGTGGTCGTAAACATGGCAAGGTAGTCGTTCGCACCCTCGCCGGTCGGCCGCGCGTAGTCGGCCAGGCAAAGTCCCTCGCGTTCCTGCTGCCGGCCAAAGTAGAACCGTTCCAGCTCAGCCTTGCCGTCCGGCTCGTATACGATCAGCCACTGCCCTTCGGAGCGGCACGGGAAGAACTTGAACACCGCGCTGGCGCCGATGTCCGAGCGGGACAGCATCATGTCCTCAACCCGTTGCACCTGTTGGCGCAGTTCAACGGCTTTGGGTTCTTCTGCCCGCAGTGCATCCCAGAAACGACCCCGGTATCCCAGGTGCCGCACGTAAAGCATCTGCGGGTTGATGTACCCGAAAATCTCGTCGAGATCGAAATCCTCCAGCACGTGGAGCCGCAGATCCGGTGGCCGCGGGGAGGATTCTACCGGAATGACGCTGGTCGTTGTCGCGGCGTCACGCACGGGCGGCTGCCGCCTCCTGCAGCTCGGCGCTCTCCGTCTCCAACCGAGCGAGCAAACGCTCACGCTCATCGGCGTCCTGGATGGTATTGGCCAGCGCGAGTCCGCTCATGGCGTCCGGCGAATACGCCACCAGTCCGCCGTATTCCGGCGCGATCCGCAGCCGGGTGAACCGGTTGGACAGGGCAGCGCCGCCAACCAGGACCGGGGCCGCGATGCCGGCCGCGCGGAAGTCCTGCACCGTCTCGACCATCATCTGCGCGGATTTCACCAGCAAGCCCGACAGGCCGATGATGTCCGGTTGGTGTTCCCGGTAGCCCGCGATCAGTTCCTGCGCCGCAACCTTGATGCCCAGGTTGATCACGCTGTAGCCGTTGTTGGACAGGATGATCTCGACCAGGTTCTTGCCGATGTCGTGCACGTCGCCCTTGACGGTCGCCAACAGGATCCGTCCCCGCAGCGCGGCGTCCGTGCGCTCCATGTGCGGTTCCAGGTGAGCTACCGCGAACTTCATCGCTTCGGCGCTCTGCAACACCTCGGCGACGATCAGCTGGTTCGCGTTGAACTGACGCCCGACTTCATCCATTCCCGCCATCAGGGGCCCGTTGATGATCGCCAATGGCACCCGTTCCTGCAGCGCCAGATCCAAGTCGGCGGCCAAGCCTTCCTTGCTGCCCTCAATGATGCACTGCGCCAGGCGTTCGTCCAACGGCAGCGCCAACCGCTCTTCCGCAGTGGCGCGCGGCGCCCGGTCGCGGAAGTGCGCCGCAAACGCGGCCACCGGATCCTCACCGCGATTCCAGATCAGGTCTTCAGACAGTGTGCGTTCTTCCTCGGGAATACTGGCGTACCGCTGCATCATTTCGGAATTGACGATGGCCATATCGAGGCCGGCCTGCGTGCAGTGGTACAGGAACACGGAGTTGAAAACCTCGCGACCCGCCGCCGGCAGCCCGAAAGAAACGTTGGAGACGCCAAGCACCGTCTTGGTCCTGGGCAACGCCTCCCTGATCATCCTCACGCCCTCGATGGTTTCGGCTGCCGAACCGACGTAGTTCACGTCTCCGGTCCCAGCGGGGAACACCAGCGGATCAAAGATGATGTCTTCTTCCGCCACTCCGTAATTCTCGGTCAACAGCCGGTGAGACCGCTGGGCAATCTCCAGCTTCCGCTCACGCGTGATCGCCTGTGCCTGGTTGGGGTCGTCGTCAATGCAGCCCACCACCAACGCCGCGCCGTATCGTCGCGCCAACGGCACCACCCGCTGAAAGCGCTCCTCGCCATCCTCGAGGTTGATCGAGTTGATGATCGATTTACCCTGCAGGCGTTTCAGCGACTCTTCGATAACCGACGCATCCGTGGAGTCGATCATGATGGGCGCCTTGACCCGGCGATTGAGCTGGTCCAGGAACTTGATCACGTCCGACGTTTCGTCCCGGTCCGGGTCCTGCAGGCACACGTCCAGAATGTGCGCCCCGTTGCGGACCTGCCGCCGGCCGACCTCGGCCGCCTCCTCGAACCGTTCGCCCGCTATCAGCCGTTTGAACCGCCGGCTGCCCAGCACGTTGGTACGTTCCCCGACGATGGTCGGCCTCGTGTCCTCGTTCACCACCACGGCTTCGATGCCCGACACGCGCGTTTCTACCGTCGGTTCGGTCACCCGCGGCGTCTTGTCGGACATTGCTTCGACTAGCCGCCGAATATGCTCGGGGCCGGTGCCGCAGCAACCTCCGGTCACGTTGATCCAGCCATTCGCCGCGAACCGTTCCAGTGTGGCCGCCAGCATCTCCGGCGTCTCGTTGTAGTTGCCGTCCTCGTCGGGCAGACCCGCGTTGGGCACGCAGGCGATCCCGAACCGCGACAACTCGTTCAACGTCCGGATGTGGTCGGTCATGAACTCCGGCCCGGTGGCGCAGTTGAAGCCCACCCAGAGCAGATTCCGGTGGGCCAGAGAGGTGTAAAACGCCTCGGCGTCCTGGCCGGCCAGAAGCGTGCCCATGGGCTCGACGGTTCCCTGCACGGCTGCCGGAACGTCAACGTTCATCTCGACCCGGGCGCGATCTATTCCTTCCAGCCCTGCCTTGATGTTGATCGTGTCCTGGCCCGTTTCGAGCACCAGCACGTCGGCGCCGCCCTCGATGAGTCCAGCCGCCTGCTGGTGGTAATCGGCCGCCAGCTCGTCAAAGGTCAGGCCACCCGTCACCGAGATGGTCCGCGTCGTCGGACCCATCGCGCCGTACACGAAACGCGGCTTGTCCGGGTCAGCGGCCGTTGCATCGTCCGCGGCTCGCCTGGCGATGCCCGCGGCCTCGCGGTTGATCCGGCGCGCTTCGGGAGCGAGGCTGTACTCGCCCAGCACCAGCGCGGTTGCGCCGAAGGTGTTGGTCTGTATGATGTCAGCGCCGGCATCCAGGTAGTCGCGGTGGATGTCGTGGATCACGTCGGGGCGCGTTATGTTGAGGTATTCGTTACACCCTTCGTACTCCTCTCCGCCAAAATCATCCGGTCCAAGGTCCCTCGCCTGGATCTGGGTTCCCATCGCGCCGTCGGTGATCAAAATGCGCCGGCGAAGCAGCGATTCCAGTTCTCTAATTCGTTCTTCAAAGTTCATAATTTCTTTGCCATTTGTTCCGTAAATCACAATCAAGGCTAACCCCATTCGGTAAACGTGTCAAACTGGAACCGACCCAAAACCGGCCGCTAGACACTCCGGAATCCGTCAGGAGAAGCTCCCAATGCGCCCTCAGGAAGTCGTTTCGCAAGCTCCCCGCCTCGCTGCATTCATCGCCTCTTCCGCCATCAACGTGCCGACTGCGGAAACCTCACGTGACCGTGCACGAGGCGTGCTGCTCGGTCTCGCCGTCGGCAATCTGTTGGGCCTGCCCGTCGAGGGCGCCCCTTACGATCACATCGCAGATTCGCACCCCAACGGCCTTACCGAGATCGACCCGCGCGAAGCCAACCGACCCCTGGACGACGACCTCGCCCAGGCCGTCGATTTGGGAGATGCGCTGCTGGGCAATGTTGACTACGCCCGCGACTTCGCTGACCGCCTGATCGATTGGGCGCTCGACAACGGCCGCGGCATGGGCATCACCACGGGTGAGGTGATCGACGAATTGGCAACCGGTAAGCCGCTCCCGGAACCCGCCCGTTTGGTGTTTGAACTCAGAGACCGCATCGCACCCAACGGCGGCGTGATGCGTTGCGCCCCGGTGGCCATCGCCCGCCGCAACAATCCAAATCTTCTGATTACGGATTCCGCGCTCACCTGCGTGGTGACCCACTACGCCCCGGCTTGCCAGTGGTCATGCATCATCGTGAACGCGACCATCGCCGTTCTGCTCAACGGAGGGGAGCCGAACCTCGCGGAACTGATGCGCGCGGTCTACGCCGACGGCTGTCCCGATCTCCAGGCAATCGCCCACATCGACCGCATTCCCGCAGCCGTCCTGGACGCCATCGCCGAGGGCGAACCCCCGCCCGCCGGCATCGACTGGCTACTGTGCGACCACCGGCTCATCGGACACACGCTGCTGGCCCTGCAGGTGGGCCTGTGGGCCGCGGTAACGCCTTTGGACTTTCAACACGCCCTCATCGCGTCGGTAGCCGCCGGCGGCGACACCGACACCAACGCGGCCGTCGCCGGGGCCGTGCTCGGCGCGCGTTACGGCGCTTCGAACATCCCCGAGCGTTGGCTTGCCTGCGTCCCCCAACGCGTAAACGCATCGAACGCTTGGCCGACGATCTGCTGGCTATGTCAGGAGCCTAGCCGAAATATAGCGCCAGTTCATCGCGGTTCCGGTCCAGCCAGGCCACGTTCAGCGCAATGCGCTCCAACGCCTGCCGGATCGTGCGCTCCGCCGCCGGCGTGGGGTGTGCTTCGAAGAACCTTTCCACATCCTCCCGCATCGCGTTGGTCGTGAACAAGTTCGTGATGCCGACCAGTCGCATCAGCCCGAAGCCTCCGCCTCCGTACCGGCGGTCGAACTCGTCCCACTGCTCCTTCAGGAACTCCCAGGCCAGGCTGCGGCCCCGGTTGTTGGCCGCCACGGCGGATACCACGAATATGGTGTCCTGCAACCGCACGTCGTCGTGAGCGCCGGTCCAGCGTCTCCCGCAGCAGATCCTCCTGCTGGAACCGCGCAATCGAAATCAGGAACCGGATCTTCTCCTCGTGCAATTCGCTGCCCGCTCCAGGTCCCACATTGCGTCGTAGACGGCCGGTCACCGGCCTGTGCAACAGCTGAATACCACGCCGCGCAGGTCCGGTCGCACGTCGAGGGATCGTTTTGGTACAGACCGCGAAGAGTTCCTGGCCTGCGCGCGACAACGTCGGGTCCCGTATACCCGGCCTGGCTTGAGCACGGTGGACCGGGTCAACCATCCAGTTGTCCTTCCCCGGCCGCGCGTCCCAGCCCTGACCGTTGCGCCGCCGGACCTCGAATGTCGTCGGCCAAAGGCGTGTCGGGCCCCCAGGTACGACTCCCCGGCGATCAGGCTTTCGATCTCTCGCAGGTTGGTCGCCAGGGTCGCTCCAGACCGAGCATCGGTTCTCGTCCTGGTAGGACTCCGCCAACGCCAGGAATCGCGTTACCGGCAGCAAACCCCGCGCGGGACAGTGCGAACGCATCGTTCTGGATCCCCAGCCGGTTCGGTCGCCGCAGTCCCCGGTTGGCCACCACCGTATGCCAGCCTTTCCCGGTCCGCGTCCGTATAGTTCACCCGATAGAAACCGGTCTGTCCGGGTGTGACCTTGACCATTCGGGTTGCCGGGAGCCGCCACCTGCACTGTGTCCGTGGCCCCGCTCACCAGTGTGCGCCGTGACGGCGCCCCGGCGGCCGTAACCGTCAATGGCACCGGCCACAACCTGTTCCTCGTCGTCCCCCGCGTCTTCGCCCAACACCGAGTCAAAGACGAACCTCTCCTGCCGGATTTCCAACGTCAGCCCGTTGGCATTGCTGGTCGCCGCCACATCCAGCACAGGATATATCCGGTTTGACCCGTCCAACTGCTCATGATGAGTTGACCGGCTCCCGGAAGATTTCTTCCAGCGCCGTCCACAGGTCGTGGTCCGGGCGTTTGATACGTGAGTGTCGGGTCAATAGGCGTTCAGCCCGATACGGAACACGTTGGGCGTCAGGAAATGCTCCAGCATCCGCACACCGACGTGCTGTAGCGTGAGTCGCGTCAAAGAGCTGGCTGACCTCTGCCGGATTGGCCACTTTCCTGTTCGATCGGATGCGAATTCTTCAGGCCGTCCAGGCTGAACCCCCGGTTGGTGTCCATGTTCACGAACTGCGTCCACATCGACCATTCCGGGAACAGCCAGTCCACCGCTTGGTGCCCCACCCACGTGGCGAAACTCTCGTTGAGCCACAGATCGTCCCACCACTCCATGGTCACCAGGTCGCCGAACCACATGTGGGCCATCTCGTGCGCCACCACTTCCGCCACCCTCTGCCGAGTCCCGCCGACGAGTTTGCCGGGTCGACCAGCAGCGCGGTCTCGCGTCGTACGTCACGCACCCCAGTTTTCCATCGCGCCAGCCGCGAAGTCCGGTATCGCGAGATGGTCCAGTTTGGGCAGCGGATACGGTAGGCCGAAATAGTCGTTGAAGAAGGAGAGCAGTTTGATGACCGACGTGTCCAGCGCGAACTGTCCTGCTCCTCCTTGCCCCTGGTCATCCACACTCCACCAACGTCACCGTCGGCCGCCTCTTTCTCGATGTGCGTCAGGTCACCGATCACGTAGGCCAGGAGGTAGGTGGACATCACCGGGGTCTTGTCGAACAACAGGGTCTTGCGGCCGTTGCCGCTGCGGCTGTCGTGGATGATCGGTGTATTGGAAACGGCCTCCATCTCCTCCGGCACGTCCAGCGTGACCTGGAAGGTGGCCTTGGCCGCCGGTTCGTCCCAGCACGGCAGGGATCGTCGCGCGTCCGTAGCCTCAAATTGTGTGGTGGCCAGGTAGGCCGTCTCGCCCTCGGGGTTCAGGTACTGGCTGCGGTAAAACCCTCGCAACTTGTCGTTGAGTTCGCCCGTGAACGACATCCGCAGGTGATGGTTGCCCACCACACCCATCAGCCGTGTGCCGGCATGCTGATCGTCGCGGTTTCCGCGTCGGCATCGTAGGCGATGTCGCTGGCCGCTGTTCCTGCTCGCCATCCGTGTTACGTCCAGCTGACGGTTGGCCGAATGTATCTCGATCTCCGAGCAATTGAGCATGATCTCGGTGGTGCCGGGTTCCATGCTCACCGTGATGTCGACCTCGCCGGCGAAGGTGAAATCGTCGAAATTCGGGGTAAGCGTCAGGTCATAGTGGATGGGACGAACGTTGTCGGGGAGCACAACAGCTTCGGCGGATGGCATCGAATTTCCTCCGTGATTTGCGTTCAAAAAAGGGGACGCGCCAAGTTTATCACAAGGGTTGTCGCCCCTTGTGAGCCCACCGCAATTGCGAAATAATGAGCGGCGGTCAATCAGGCTTTCATGATCGGTTGACTATATATTTTTTCGATTCCAAAACACTTTCGATGGGTGCGTTAATATTTGGTTGACGCACGCATAATTGGAGCGAATGACACATGTTCGCTGAAGGTTTGTCGTTTCTCGGGCTTGCTGAGTTATTCAGCGTCTCCGGGGCCTCGGCCGAACTCCGCGGATCGCTGCTGGCCCTGGGAACCCTGATCGTCGCTGCCAAGTTGGCGGAAGGTGTTTTCCGTCGGCTGCGCCTGAACGCCATCGTGGCTTACGCGGCGACCGGCATAGTCTTGGGTCCAATCCTGAATCTGACCGGGCTATGGCACATCGAGTCGACGCTGCACATCCAGTTATTGTTGAAGCTCGGCGTGTTCCTATTCTCTTCCTCATTGGCCTCGATGAGATCGACATTTCAGCTTTATGTCCAGCCTGAAGGGCCACTATTTCCTGGCGGCGATCCTCTCGGTAGTCCTGTCACTGGGCATTTCGATGCTGGTCACCACCGACCTCGTCTTCGATTTCGGCCTGAGCCTGGCTTTTTCGGAGGCGCTCGCCCTGGCCGGCGTTCTGTCCATGACCAGCCTCGGCATCGTGGTCAAAGTCTTGGCGGACGATGGCCGGCTGAAAGAGCCGGTCGCTTGCAGATTTTCACCGTCGTGGTCATCGCCGAGCTGATCACGCTCCTGCTGATCGGCTTCAGCATCGGCGATCACGTTCATGACCTGACCCCAACCGGAATACTGGTGCTGCTGGGAAAGGTGCCGGATTGCGGTCGTGTCCTGGATACTGTCTTCAAGGTCCTGCCTCCTGTGGTGGGGTGCTCCAGCGCGTTATTCATGTGCCGCAACTCTCGTTGGGGTTTGCTCCTGGGGATCCTGTTTGTGATCGTGGCCGCCGCCGAACTAATGGGACTGCACGGCTCCCTGGGCGCGTTGCTGTCGGGGCCGCCCTGGCCGGTTGCCTACCAGGTGCGCCGCGAGATCACTCCAGGTTTGCGCAGCGTCGCCGAAGGGTTCTTCGTCCCGCTGTTCTTTGCCTCCGCCGGCCTTCAGTTCA